GCGAAGCAATCCTTTCAATCACGATTTTCCTTACCGTGTCTAACGCTTCTTCCTTGTCCTATAATAATTAAAAAGGTATTTTTGAAGAATTGTTAAATGAAGTGAGCCGCACGTGAACTCGACTCTGCTCGATAAGAGAATTCTTTTTATATAATTTCCTATTATTCAGGTTGTCAAAGCTCGAGATCGGCTCGTTAAGACTCGAACTCGATTCGTTAATATTGATAGACGAGCCAAACTCGAGTTCGATTTCTGGCTCGTTAAGGGCTCGAGCTTCAGCTTGAGCTTGGCTGTCTGCATGAATAATGGCTCGAAATTGGTCGGTTGGATGAGTTCAATTGATATTATTGAATAAACAATATGTACTTTTGTAGTGAATTGTATGGCGAAATAGGTTTTTTGTTCCTTAACTGACAACGTTTTCACTTCTAGTCCCAGTGAAGGTCCTTTTATTGAAATGGTCCTCTAGGTGAAAAACATTAGGTTTTTTGTCCTTTGACCACCTGTAGTTAGAGTTTCCGGCTAGCCTACGTGGAAATTCACCTGATTTTTTTTGGCTGAGTTGTAAGCCTAATGATTAGGTGACATAATTGCAAAAAAATGCAAGGAGGGGAGAATTTGAACCTGGGACCACTACCATTCCACAAAGCTTACGATCCACTTTATCTAACACATCTTGTGCTAAATATTTGACTTCACTTATATATCTACCAACATCGTTTTATCCATATATGTATATATATATATATATATATATATATATTAATCAATTTATACTATTTTTAATTATAAAATATTTATTTATTAAATATGCATTAATTACGAACTAAAGATGAGTAAACTAAATAAATAATAAACAATATTATATTATTTTACTACCTTGTTTAATTAAACTTTTATTATCTTAATGTTTTCTTATACTAATTTACTTAAATATATTTTAATTATTTTTCTTATATATTAAATAAATATTTATATTAGATATATATTATCAAAATAAAAAATTATATTAAAGAATATAATAAATAATATATTTAATGTATTTTGAATAAATAAGTATATTAAATTATTAAATATATATACATATATATTAATGAAATAAATATATTAAAGGATCTTGATATTAAATAAATATAAATTAAATAAGTAGTTATTAAATTAATTTATTTAATTAATATTATTAAATAAAAATTTAATATATTCAAATAAATTTTATTTGTCTATTAAATAATTATTAATTTACTAAATAAATGTATTAAATAATTTAATAAATAAATAAATATTTACAATAAAAACACATATATTAAATAATATAAATAAATTTATCAAATAAGTAAACATATTAAATATATTTAAAATTAAATAAGGTCATTTAAAAAACAACATACATGATATTGTAAATTAAATAACAAAATACCATTTAGTATTTATTTATTTTAATTTAATTAATTAAATACGTAATATTTTGAATATGTTTTAATCAACAAAATAAAATAAGTAAACTTAAGAAATAAATAAATAATATTATTCTATTTTATTTTATTTGTAATTTATATGTTATACTTAGTTATAGTTTATTGTATTATATGATTTAAAATATATATTAATTATGAACAAAAACTAAATAAAATTATTAAAAAAATATATTATTTTATTTTTTGATTATATGCTTTATTTAATTATAATTTATTGTATTATTTATTAATATAACAAATTATTTAATATATATTTTTTTATTTAGTAAACATTTATTTAATATACAAAAAAATTAATTAAGGTTTAAAATGGTAAATTAGTACAGATACAACATTAATGATAATGAAAGTTTGATTAAACAAGGTAATTAAAAATGTAGTATTATTTATTTAGTATACTGATTTTTATTTCGTGATTAATATAAATATACATAAATAATATATTTATAAGTATTATAATTAAAAGTAGTATACATTAAATTATATTTGGATAAAACGATGTTGCTAGATATATAAGTGAAGTCAAATATTTAACATAAGATATATTGGATCAAGTGACTTATAAGCTCATTGGGTATGGTAGAGGTACTAGGTTTGAATCACCCTCTTTGCAATTTTTTACAAAATCAGGTGAATTTTCCGGTATCTCTAACCTGCTACAGGAGTTGCAAAACACTATTTTTTTTTTTATCACAAACCCCCAAGTAGTTATTGGTCATATTTTATAATTTTGCAAATTGATTAATTGGGTTGCAATTAAAATAATTACCTTGAGACATTTGTGAAATGTTGTACCAGGAATGTTCAAAGGAAACGACATCGCAGCTCTACTGAGATTGATGAACAAATCTGCAAAATCTTCTGAGCTCTCACCACCATGAGTATACAGATGTTTCCCGCAAAGTTCAGCAAACATCTATATATTAAAGAGATTTAAAAAGAACATGTTAGTATTCAAATTAATTAGAAATGTATAAAGTTTTGGTCCCATTTGTACTCTCAGTTTATAGAGATTTTGTTTCTTTCCTTCACGATTGCTTCTGGCGCGAATAATTAACGATATATTTTTTAATTCTCATATGTTTATTTTAAAGTGTACATTTGTTTTTATTATGTTGGGAATGGGGAATTTGTAGGAGTTGGATGAAGTGTTATGACTTATAATTGGAAAGGCATGAAATGCTAATAATATATCAGTGTTACAATTTAAATAAAATTTTTTAAATAAAGTGTTATTTATTCTTATTCTTCTTATAGTGTGTTATATTAAGTGTTATCTAAGGCCTCCATGTTTTTTACATAGCACTTATTTAAAAAAAAAAATTATCTCAAAAATGTTATCTGAATATTATCAGATTGTCATATGTAAATAAGCATATAAAAAAATTAATTAAGGAAAACTTATCCAACAACTTCGATTAACCATTGAGGAAATTAATCGACAAAAACTTATATATCTTACAGCAATCGAAGCACGTTCGACTTCAATCGAGTCTTGCATGGACCATGAGTGAATGTGTTTGCGAGCGATCTCTTCAAACTCGGTAAGCAGTTTTTGCCTGATACTCTCCGAGCCAAAGTGGTTTAAGACCAAATTCCTTGTGTACTTATGAATAGTGAGACCGTCGGGTCTAAATTCCCCGTGTTCGAAAACCTTGGCAAACAAATCGAGGTACCAATGGACGACCAATTTCTCTTCTTGCTGAAAAATATAACGGTTTAATTCTTGATCGGCCGATACCACCACATTGTGGCCAACAACGTTTGTACGAAACAACAACCCATATCTGAAAAATAAATAAAAAATTATGTTAGCATATATGAATGAAATTATAGTACATACATATGTGTATGTTTAAGTAATCTAGGTAAGTTTATGTGTCACTTTATTCTAGAGTTTTTATTTTTTAAGCATTGGAATGACTTTGGAGTCCTTCTACTTTATGTCATTCAAGAGTTAGGTAGATTTGTATACAAGCTATACAAAAATTGATTTTAGCTCAATTTTGTTTTGGTTACATATAAATGAACCTAAGTTTTGAATGAAAAACATCGACTCAAGTAAGAAAAAAAAAAAAAAAAAAAAAAAAAAAAAAAAAAAAAAAAAAAAAAAAAAAAAAAAAAAACAGAAAAAATCATTCAAATGACAAAAAATTTGCTTTATAATAATTGCTACAAATAAAAAGGAAAATAAGTTTTATACATTGGTCTCAAACTCGACTTTGGAACAAAGAGCTCTAAACATCTTTTAACACGTTACCAATTGACTTAAAAAGCTTTGACTTAACACCATTTTTAGTTCCAAGAAAAATAAAATGTGTGGATCAATATTAATTTTGTTACATATATACCTTTGGATTTTTTTCTTAAGGAATGGATGAACATCAGGAGAGTAGCTTGGTATGAATAATTGAAGAGTCTCTCCAATGAAAGGGAAGCCTGAGGAACCTGGAGGAAGTTTGCCTGCACATTTAGGGTTCATCCATAGGTACATCATCTGGGTAAGAAATATGATGAGAAGGGCAAAAATGACATAAAGGTACATTTTTATTTTTTTTTTGCTCTAATTACGCTTGTAATCAGGAAGATTAAATTTGGTGGTGTCATTGTGATTTGTGTTCTATTAAGGTTTAAATAGATGAAAGGGGTTTAAATGTGGTGGGGACACTGACCTCCAATCCAACAGTAAACTAGGCATATGCACAAATTACATAAAATAAAACTTTGTATATAAAAATGATAACTAAAATAAAAAAAATCTATTTAATAAAATGTATGAAACTTATAATTGAATTGTCAACAAAAACTACTCTTAGCTGAAATTTTAAATTTCGATAAAAGAAATGTTAAAGTGGAATTTATCATATATTAATGATAATTATTATATAAATATAATAAATATTATAATTTTATATATCCTTCGATGATGATGATGATGATAATAATAATAATAATAATAATAATAATAATAATAATAATAATAATAATAATATCGCAAATAATAATAATAATTAAGTGTAATAATTTACTACTAATATTAACTTATTATAAATTCACATTAAACTACAATAAAGTTACATTCTTATCAAAAATCCTATTGCAAAAAAATGTATTCAAGCTATCCAACGTTATCTTCTATTTTTCATCTTATTAAGCATTTTTTTAACTGTTATCTAATAAATTATAATTAAGGGTGGTATGGTTCGGTAACCGATCTAAAGTTGGAATTACCGAACCGAACATTTCGGTAATACGAAATGTAGAACCGAGATGATGTCGGTTATCGAAATCGGTAACAGAAATCTAGGTTCGATTTTGGTATAAAACCGAGTTTACCGAATTCCACTCAACATAAGAAACCAAGAAGCAGTGTTTGCATTGTGTTCCTACACGAAAACCACATAAGAAACCAAACACAAAATACAGCAGAAAAAAAATTAAAATAATGTTCCTTCAGTTGATAAAAATAATAAAAGCAAGTATGCATAATGCATTGTGTTGCGTGGTCACAGACAACTCCAAATGACAAGCTACCTACGAAATTTCAGTCATGTCCATAACCTGTTATCACTAACCAGCATGGTCACAGACCACTCCATATAATAATTGATAAGGAAATGGGCGATTTGGGCGAGCAACTGAGCCTAACGTTAGCCGCCGAGCTTGGGAGACCGGACATGTATTGGTCACTGTCGACTCACCTACGAATTTTTGGAAGATGAAAGTTAGGAACTTAGGGTTAGTTTTTGGGGAGATGAAAGTCTGATCATGAGGAGTTAGACAATGTCAGACTCATTATTCAGAATTCACTATTCAATAACCAATATTCAATATTCATTTTTTTTAAACATATCGGTTCCGTAAAAACCGAACCCATATGGGGCGATACCGATACCGAATCGATAAGCCTTTGGTAACTGATAATAGTGAGACAGTACGGTTCTGTTTATCTTCTTGTCAGTTCGGTTTGCTTCGGTTCAAACTCGTTAAAATCGCATAAGCAATTTCTACAATAATAGCAAGTTTAATATTTTTTTTACAGCTAATTAATTGGTCATGAACATTGACAATTACAAACTCCTTAAATTCGCGTAAACTATTTCTACAATAACAGCAAACTTAATATTTTTTTCAAGCAATTAATTGGTCATGAACACTCACAACTACAAAAATTACATTAAATATTATAATTTATGCAATCAATCTAGTGATTCATATATAAGTTACACATTTTAGTTATATTTATAATTTATGATCAAAATTATAACATATATAAATATTATATATATATATATAAATTTATAATATTATATTTGCATGCACATTGAGTGCTTATGGAGAATTCCATTCTACATGGTTAATGGACCAATGGACTTGTAAATTTTAATTAGCACACATTTGTAATTAGGTACAGGCAAAAAGCATGTAAAGGGGCTAAGAATATCCTATATATCAAAATTAAAGGATATTTCACCCCATTCCTTGGGCAATTGAAATATTGTATAGTGGGTATTGTAGGATGAAAATGGTCAAAGGATAATAAATCCTATCCAATTCATTCCTATCTGTAGCATCTTAATGCAATAAGTAATCCTAGTCAATTCATTCTATCCTTGACTTCTTAATGCAATTCAAATATTGTACAGTGGGTACTGAGTAGGATGCAAATGGTCAAAGGATAATTAATCCTATTCAATTCATTTCTATCCCTAGCTTTTTAATGCCATACAATTAATGAAGAAAACTATTAATTGATTCTGTACACATGTGTATGTATAAATACACAATATTATACTTATACAACAGATAATGAAGACATCATATTTTACAAATTTGATCATTTGTAAATAAATAGCATAAATATAAATTATTTAACTAAACATGAGCTACTATATTGATTATATAATATGTGATAATAATACAATTTTGTGATTTTTAAGGATCCTGACCAATTAATTGTATAGAAAAATATTTAAACAATTATAATATAAATAAAATTATTATTATTATTATTATTAATATTATTATTATTATTATTATTATTATTATAGAGATTTGGCAATTGATATAAAATCGATTCCTCAAAAAAATTGCTTAATGATAATAATAATATTAATATTAGAACAAACTTTTTGAAAAAATAAACTAAATACATTATTAAATATACAACTTCCATACAACATTAAGTATAAATTATACTTATGTTTGTAATAATAATAATAATTAATATATATATATATATATATATATATATATATATATGTATATAAACATATATGTTTATATATATATAAAGGCATGTATTTACTTGAAATAGTGAGGTTTTCCTGCAAAGAATTTGTTATTAAGTAAAGAAATATTTTTAAACATTAATTTTTACCTTTTTTATTTCTTTTTGGTAATTTTTCCTTTACCGTTGTGAGACTTTTATTTTTATGTTACGTAATATGATATCAATAATTAATCTAAATATATTAATTAAACTTTTCAAAAATTGTCAATAAATTATTTTATTTTTGTCTAATCAATTTTAATTTTTTTTAGTGTAAATATATCAATAATTTGAGATATAACATTTAAAAAATTTATAATCAAGAGTTCCGTTTCTATTTAATATATAATTTTATTTGATTTGAAAATATAAATTAACGGATATAGTTATAGATTAATAAATTAATGGATTAGGACATAGCATTTTTAAAAAATGTACAATCAATTATTCATTTACAACCTTTGGGGTGGCTCCGCCCCTGAGCCGAACTCTTGGCATTTTCACACGAGCCGTGTGAACCGGGTTACATCCCACACGAGTCGCGTGGGTCAGGGCATGACTTTTACTCCTTTTTTCTTTTTATATGGGTTTTTCGACTTATTTCGACTAGTACTCGACCTCAACTATTTAAAAACATTAGGGCACGTGTTTTGGAGAGCTTTTAGATTTTGGAGACCTTTAGAGGCTAGGAACACGCACAAGATGAGCGGGAAAAAGCTGAGATGAAGATATCGACGAAGCCTAAGTTTATTTTCCTTTTTTTCTCTATTCTCGAACTGAGTGTTTTGTATTTATTTTCCTGCTTTTATAAGCATGTTTTTATATAAGCATGTTTTTTAGGCTAATTTAATTCTAGACTCTATGGTTTGTTAGCACTTTGATTGACTTGTGTTATATTATTATTCAATTAATTTCGATTAATCTTTCGGTTATGAATATTTTGTGCTTATTTTTATTGGATGAGTAGAGGGTTGCTATGGATACAATTTTTGATCGCTTCAAGACTAGAGTAGATAATAGATTACTATAATTGATAAATTTATAACGTAAGAGAATAAACAAACCGAAGGTTGATAAGATCTTACGAGATAATGAAAATTCTAGAAACTTACGGAGTTAGTTGTTTACCTTGAGACCGCGAGGAGATGGATATAAATTAATCTACGATTTAACTTGTTTGAGAGAAATATTATAATAATTTTGCGATTATCTCACGATTGGTAAAATTAAATTCGGTTTGTATGAATTTAAATGTTCCATTAATTAATTACGAGAAAAGCTTAACCTAGAATTTATTTTTCGTATCTTGTTTATTCTATAATTTAGATCAAGTCTTTATTTCTATAATAAATTACTTTTAGTTTAATTTATTAGTTCATTATCATCACTCGATTTTGCTAGCTTAGACAATATTCACTTGTCATTATTTTGATAATTAATTAAGTTAAACTACAACCTTTGCAGACAATTGCGGATAGTGGAATAACTAGCGAACAGTAGTGGTCTCAACTAACTCTTCGTAATTCATCTTTTTTACATTTGGATTTCAATTTTTATCTTACTATCTCACTATTTCACTGTCGTAATCAAAATGTTAATGAAACAAATGCAATATAGTATCGTGTGTGTATGTGCAAGTTTAAGAACACTACACTCAAGAACTTTGAGAACTTGACGAGAAAGGGTAGCTAAGTTGGTAGCACTTTTCACTTGCACCAATAGGTGTCGAGTTCGAGTCATACAGGGATAAGTGGGGAACCACTATCCATCCTTTTTTTTTTCAAAAAAAAAAGAACTTTGAGAAGTTAGGCTGATTGTACATTGTAATTAATAAATCGGCACACACTTCATCCTTTGAAGTAAATTTGGGACTTCGGAGGTTAGCTGGTCATTTTCAATGGAATGGCAAGTCGGGTCAAGCAAGTACTCTATGAAAAGGTGATAGCCTGTTTTACCCTTTTGGGTAAATTATTATTTTCAACATTTACTACGCGTGTTTTTTGGTTTTGCTATTTTTCGTCGTAAAATACAACTTGAACTTTATGAACATTCATAATCTGCACACTCGCCAGCACCTTGACCATACACGTGTAAGGTCAAGAGGTCAAGGAGTATGCGTGTGTAAATTATGATTGTTCATAAAGTTTAGATTGCATTTTACATAGGTTTCAAATCCCAAAAGCACATATAGTACATGTTAGAACCAATATTTTTACCTTTTTAAT